GATCGTCGATTGTTTTTTGTTCCTGTCAAAAGAAAATGTGTCATAACTTTTTTGTTTTTAAAGATAACTCCACCGAGTTTGGTATCATTTTAAAGGATTCTTCAGTTTCTTTCGAATAATCATAAAATTAAAGTTGTATTTTCAACTTTAAAAGTGCAATTTGATTTTTATTCGAAATTAGAATCCCTTTTTATTTTAAAAATTGGTCTTGAATATAAGTCTATTTAAATAAATCTACTTAAAATTAAATCAAATCTTTTGACATTTCATTTTTGACAGTTTTTGGATAATATTTAAAAAAAATAATTTATTATTAAAAAATTGAAATCTGCATTAAATTTCGATCAATTTAAGTCCAAACACCATTTCATTATCTTAATAAATACGGAAGTTATTAGCGTTTAAAGAAAACGATCGTCGATTGTTTTTTGTTCCTGTCAAAAGAAAATGTGTCATAACTTTTTTGTTTTTAAAGATAACTCCACCGAGTTTGGTATCATTTTAAACGATTCTTCATCGTCTTTCAAATAATCATAAAATTAAAGTTGTATTTGCAACTTTAAAAGTGCAATTTGATTTTTATTCAAAATTAGAATCCCTTTTCATTTTAAAAAATTGTCTTGAATATAAATCTATTTAAATAAATCTAGTTAAAATTAAATCAAATTTTTTGACATTTCATTTTTGACAGTTCTTGGATAATATTTAAAAAATAAATTTATTATTAAAAAATTGAAATCTGCATTAAATTTCGATCAATTTAAGTCCAAACACCATCTCATTATCTCAATAAATAAGGGAGTTATTAGCGTTTAAAGAAAACGATCATCGATTGTTTTTTGTTCCTGTCAAAAGAAAATGTGTCATAACTTTTTTGTTTTTAAAGATAACTCCACCGAGTTTGGTATCATTTTAAAGGATTCTTCATTTTCTTTCGAATAATCATAAAATTAAAGTTGTATTTTTCAACTTTAAAAGTGTAATTTGATTTTTATTCGAAATTAGAATCCCTTTTTATTTTAAAAATTTGTCTTGAATATAAGTCTATTTAAATAAATGTAATTGAAATTAAATCAAATTTTTTGACATTTCATTTTTGACAGTTCTTGAATATTTTAAAAAAATTAATTTATTATTAAAAAAATGAAATCTGCATTAAATTTCGATCAATTTAAGTCCAAACACCATCTCATTATTTTAATAAATGCGGGAGTTATTAGCGTTTAAAGAAAACGATCGTCGATTGTTTTTTGTTACTGTCAAAAGAAAATGTGTCATAACTTTTTTGTTTTTAAAGATAACTCCACCGAGTTTGGTATCATTTTAAAGGATTCTTTATTTTCTTTCGAATAATCATAAAATTAAAGTTGTATTTTCAACTTTAAAAGTGCAATTTTATTTTTATTCGAAATTAGAATCCCGAAGCGGAAAGACCCGAAAAGGGTCGATAGCTTAATAAAGATATTTTCTCTCTCTAGAATCCCTTTTTATTTTAAAAATTGATCTTGATTAGAAGTTTATTTAAATAAATCTACTTAAAATTAAATCAAATTTTTTGACATTTCATTTTTGACAGTTCTTTGATATTTAAAAAAATAAATTTGTTATTAAAAAAATGAAATCTGCATTAAATTTCGATCAATTTAAGTCCAAACACCAATTCATTATCTTAATAAATACGGGAGTTATTAGCGTTTAAAGAAAACGATCGTCGATTGTTTTTTGTTCTTGTCAAAAAAAATGTGTCATAACTTTTTTGTTTTTAAAGATAACCCCACCGAGTTTGGTATCATTTTAAAGGATTCTTCATCCTCTTTCGAATAATCATAAAATTAAAGTTGTATTTCCAACAATAATATTTTAGGTCTTTCGGTATTCTGCATTTTTTCTAAGATAAGTTCTATCTTTACGCGACTTTATAAAATGTCGCTTAGTCAAGTGATGTATAACGTGGTCCAATTGTAATTTATATTATTCGTGAGACCGCGACTCTTAAAGTCAGATCTCCGCCTTTCTCTCGAGCTTTGGCAGTTGTCGAACGAACGGAGCATTTCACCCTGCTAAATATTGAACAGGCAAGATGAATCCGGAGAGCAACCGAAACCGTTCCCAGAAAATGCGTTTCATATTTCAAACCTGTCTACTCCTTGTCTTCCCTCTTCTATTATTGCGTTTTATAGCGATGCACCTTCACTCACTTAACCACCCACACCCCTTAGTTTTCTCCCCGCCGAAAACCGATGCTTAACACCCAACAGAAGAGAACTTAATTATCAAAGATACAAGCTCCCAATTTGCAAGACTGTTACGACCGAAACGTCAAGAGCAATTGTCTATGCACCGAGATGAATGGAATGATCCAAGTGAGTGTTGGTACAAGAACGCTTAAGGAGGAGTTTCGGGTCGCAATCTCATGTCGTACATTATCCTGTCTCTGCAGGAACAAAGATGAATCGTTCGGAAGTTCGAGTTCCGAGGGTGTTACTTAAAGGGGTGTACGCTTAAGTGACAATATTTAACATTGTGGCTTCTTTGATATAATTAAACCCAAACAGAATCTGAACCTACATATATATTTTCTTATCCACTTTATACGTCTTCTCAATCTAACTTTTTTTTGCAACTTCCACGAAGTATATTATTGCAGTCAGCAACCCTCGCAGACATAATTACACGCAACCTAACCTGCACGAAGACAATTAATCAAGCTTAACAGCGCAAGTTTCGACTTGATTCCCGCCCAGTTACCGCTGTTTGCCAGTTTGCAATCTGCGGAAGTTAACCCGTTTTTTAAACAGCCGTAGGGCGCCGCAATAAGCGTCGCTAAAACAATAAGGGTGCCGATTTCGGGACCCCATCGGGTGCGATCTTTTGTTTTTCGCGCGCAGTCGATTATTCCGAGTTTGTTTTAGGAGAAGGGGAGAAGTCAACGCCTGAATACAATGCCTCGGCGTCGGACGGACAACTGTTCCTTGAACAGGATGCTCCAGGGCACAATTGGCACTTTAGCCCAGGAAACTGCAGAGAAGTACTTCTTTTAGCTTCGGGGAATTTTATTTCTTACGAAATTTAGTGCTTAAAAGTAAAAAAATTTAAGATCAAATAAAAATAAATCAAATTTTGGAAATTTCTTATAAACCGTAAAGACAAATAAGCGAATTTCACCCCGAAATTGCTTACCCGGTCGACGCATTGTCTCTCGGGATCAAAAATGCTTCAATTTGATACCAAACATGATATATTTGGGTTAAAAAATAAAAAAGTTAGGTTAGAAATTGTCAAATGTCAAAATTAAATGTAACGATTTTTTGATAAATATTGAAATGATCTTATTAAGCATCAAAAATGCTTTAATTTGATACCAAACATGATATATTTGGGTTCAAAAGTAAAAAAGTTAGGTTAGAAACTATCAAATGTCAAAATTAAATGTAACGATTTTTTGATAAATACTGAAATGATGTTAATAAGAATCAAAAGTGCTTTAATTTGATACCAAACATGATATATTTGGGTTAAAAAATAAAGAGTTAAATTATAAACTGTCAAATGTCAAATAACCGCCATCTTTTTTTGCTAAAAATGAAGATATCTCGATAACGGTTAGAGATAAATAGGTCAAGTTTGGGTTCATTTTAAAGGATTTTTAATTTTCTATCCATTTATGTTAAAAAAAGAACACCTTTATAATTAAAATATTTTTCTTAATTGACCCTTAAGAAACAAATACGACTTCACCCGAGTAAACCAAAAAATTTGGTTATGTCTGACTACTGGGGCGTGCTCAGCTGTGTTCGTCGGATGCAGGATGTTTTTTTAATAAATATTGATACCAAACGTGATACATTTGAGTCAAAAAAAATAAAACAGTTAGGTTCGAAACTGTTCAATGTCAAAAATAAATATAACGATATTTTGATAAATATACAAATGATCTTAATAAGAATCAAAAATGCTTTAATTTGATACCAAAACATCATATATTTGGGTTAAAAAATAAAAAAGTTAGGTTAGAAACTGTTAAATGTCAAAATTAAATATAACGATTTTTTGATAAATATTGCAATGATCTCAATAAGAATCAAAAATGCATTAA